AGGATCTGGACATTCGCCTGCGGTTGCAAGAAGACAAAAGTGTTACCAGGCAAAGCTACTGGTTAACTGGGGGCTCAACCCTAGAATGCATGAAACAATTTTGCTTAAAACATGAATGCTTCTGGACTAACTTCGAAGGTCATAAAACGGCAAGCGAAGTGACAATTGCTTTCTTTGTTATCCATTATATTTTTACTGCGAGGGATGAAAGGAAAACATTTATGGAATTTTCTGACTCGTGGGCCAAAATAAGTTCCCCAGCTTCTAAGCCCTTCCTTTTGGGCAACAAGTTATTTAAGCTCCATAGCTTTATTCTTTCAATAGTTTTTGGTCCAGAACCAATATGTGATACAGGCCAGTTTATTAAACTCAGTTACAGACATGGAGCTAACCTAAGCTTTTTGAAATGGAAGACGACATGGGATGTGCATGCCACCGTTTGCTTTACAGAAGCCAATGAGAGTTGATTCATATCGTGTATGTAAATATATAAACTTAGAAATGCAAAGCTGGCCCCTATGGAGCATCCAGTCCAGAGACTGATGAAAAAGCACCGGGGTGGGGCTGGGGGCGGGAATCGAACTCCCAACCTCTGGCTCAGCAGCCAGAGACCTAAACCACTGAGCCATCCTGCAGTTCTGACTTCAATGCTAACTGCTTCTGTTTCATCTGAAAACGGTGGGATAGTTTTCAGGGGCACGGAACACGCAGGGTGTGGCACATATACACCTCTGTCCTTCATTAACCTTCCGCCACTATTTGCCCCACACATCCTGCTGCCTGAGGCACCTACATCACTCTGTCCGATGGTAGCACTGGCTCTAATCGTAGGACAAGCGGCACTCCCAAGGTTCAGCATTGTTGTTCACGGCGGTGTGCTCACCTCTGCCCACTCTGTGGAACCTAATAACCCAAATTCCTCAGCATCCCAGCTGGCAAAAACGATGGTTCTTCTAGGCCTCCAACCTGCACGTGCAAAATTGAAATTTGACAGGCCATTTTTTTCCTGTGAGGATGTCCAACAGTACAAACATACCACCACATCTAATCAGAATTCCACTGAGTTCCACGTGGCTTACTCGCAGTTCAGCGGGTGCACATTTATTTCATTTATTGGTTATCTTTTACTGAGCAAAAACTGAATAAGCCAACTCAAAATACAACCAGCTTCATAAGAATCACACACTGAAAAATTCAACCAGCACCTCAAATATTGAGAAAAATAAAAACAAGTAAATACAGCATCACTAAAATTACAGTGGTGCCCCACATGACGACGATAATCCATACTGGGAAAATCGCTGTTTAATGAAGTGGTCGTCATGCGAAAATTCTTTCCCCATTGGAATGCATTGAAACCCAGTTTAATGCGTTCCAAAGGGGAAAATACCTCATCGTCCAGCGAAGATCGCCCATAGGGAAGCCATTTTGTGAGTGCCAATCAGCTGTAAAAATGGCTGCCCTGCAAAGCATGGGTCCGGAAAAGACAGGGCAGCCATTTTGCGGAGCCGGAAAAAATGACATATTGCGAACAAACGGTTTGCGAAACACAGACCAAATCGTCGTTAAGTGAAAATTGCCCATTCGAATGACTGTTTTGTGAATCACTATAGTGATCTCAAAAAGTCATTGTCATGCAATTTAGTCATTTAGCAGGGTCGTTGTTTAGCGAGGTACCACTGTAGAATGTTGCTTTTGGGAAAGTAATTCCACACTAAACAGAACATTTTGCTACCACTTGAACGGCTATGGCTGTATCCCAAAGAATCCTGTGATTTGCAGTGTGCTGAGGTATTCTCAAGCTATAGTTCAAGAGATTGGACTTGATCTCTCTAGCTGAGAATCCTAAGCACATCAGCAAACTACAAAGCCCACAATTCCTTGGGAGGCAGCCATAGCCATTAAAGCAACATCAAACGGCTCTACCTGTTCAGTGTAGATGCATTCGTGACTTTAGTCATATCAAGATGAAAATGTTTTGGAAATAAGACATACAAATCAATGTAATCTGGAAAGGATGCAATAGGTCTCTGAGGCCTAATTCAGCACTGAGGGGGAGAAGCAAAGTTAGATTTCCGGAAAAAGCCCTCCTTGGAGAAATCTCCACTTGGGTTACAACTGGCCAGAGCCTGAAAAATTATTTATAAATCCCACTGGCCATGTTGGCAAAGTGATCCTCATCACACACACCCAGTTCCCCTGTTTGTTCTTTCACACAACCTAGGTTCACTTTCGGGCATGACATTTACTTTTCACCTTTTTCGCTGCCACCAGAGGATTTATTCCTCACTCTATCAGAAATGACTCTTAAATCAGTGTTATTCAATAAAACAACGTTGATTTAAGTGTTTATAAGTAAATCATATAAAGTAAATCATGGATGGTCTTATTTATTCAATAAACTGTGCTTTGATAACATTTATATTTGCTTATGTATAATCATATTAATCAAGGTATTTATTCATTTCTTATCTTGTTCTCTATCTCTCTATTCTTCTCTAACACAATACTGGTCCTAACTGCCTAAACTGCTTCTCTCAAGCTGATATCATTAACTGAAGTCCCTGACTGAAAGTCCCTGACTCTAACTCATATCCCTAACTAATATTTAACTGTCTTCCATTCTTCTTATATTTCTTTAGTTCCGCCTCTTCTGTTCAACCATTGGTTAATATATCAAGGTTCCATTGTGATGGACAGGAGTGGTTACTGGCCTGTCTGTCACAATCCTGGAAGCTGAAGGACCTGAGGTAACTTTCCCAGGCTCTAGATGCAATAATGATAATAATAACCTTTGAACTGCAGAGCTGGAAGGGACCCTATGGATCATCGAGTCCAACCCCACTCAAGGAGGCTTAGTGGGGAATCGAACTCCCGACTTCCACAGTCAGATGCTTCAAACCACCAAACTATCCAGCAGTTCAACGATTTCATGGGGTGTAGCTAGATCCTCTGATGGCCCTCGGGCTCACAGAGGACTGCACCACGGGAAATGCCCATCTTGTTGTGTGTATACCATACAAACCTTGGGAAGATTCACTAGGAAGTCCCAATTTACAGCATCCCTCCCAACTGCTCTTTATCATTTCTGCTACTCACTTACCTTCCGTCACCATCCTGCCGAAACTCCGAGCAACCTCTTGAAGGACAGCTGCCCCTGTAGTTGGGTCAATGCCACCAAACACCCAGGAGTCTCTGTGGCCTCCAAAGATAACATACCTATCTAAGGAAGAGGATCAGGGGTGAGGGTACAAGAGATGCTAAGAATTAGATCCAGACTCAGAATTACCTGCCATAATTTACCTTCCTGGTTCTGACAAGAAGGGTTTTTCAGCAAACTTTGGGGTGGAGGGTCATGGGGCAGTTGTCATTCCAGAGGTTTTAATCAAACGGCTCTCGTCTTATACAAAAGTTCTTTTGTTAGAACCAATGCATAGATGGATAATAAAATACAGTAGGACCCCTGTATCTGCGGGTTCAATATCCACAACTTCACTTATCCAGAGTCAGAAAATATTTAAAATATTAAAATGAAAAATAAATTAGAAATACATATCTTCATGAAATATTTATCAGAACTAGCCACTAGAGGGAGTCAGAGACTATGCTACATATTCTTGTTAAAGAATACATAGGATGGTCCCTGACTCCCTCTAGTGGCCAGTTCTGGTAATACAAGGTTTGTATTTTGTACTGTATTGATATATATTTTGGGGTTTTTTTTTCTTTTACCATGCTATATATAATGTCTGCAAATTTCTCCAGTTTTTAGCATCCATGGAGGCAATCCCCCACAAATACAGGAGTTATAATAAGTTGATTATAGATCTATGCATTATTAATATATTGAAGATTTATAGTGGGACAGGAGTAATGCTGAATTGTATTTCCAAATTTCCACATCAATGGGAAAACCACAGATTTTTCTCAGCAAGGGACTTATAATCTGTTCCGTTCTGTTCCGAAACCTTTATTGAAATTCATGGGACTTATAATCTTAAAACTGCAGTTGACTTAAAAAGATCTATGAAGTGTAGGTTTTATTATCATTGTCTTTATCATTATTAGTTTCTCTTCAGCTACGACAGCTCTTCAAATGGAAGCTTTTGCTTTTTTTTTCTCCAACTTACATCAGTGTTGGTTTGGTGTGGTGATTGAATGACTGGATTCAGTCTTGGGAAATCCAGTTTCTATCCCAAAGGAAACCCTAAAAACCCATTAAATGACCAAATCCCCGCTGATTCAGTCAGCCTACAGTCAACCCTCGATTTACGAACTTAATCCGCTCCAGAAGTCAGTTCGTAAATCGAGCCAGTATTCCCCATAGCAATGCATTGGATACCAATTGATCCGTTCCGGCCAAAATCCTCCCATGAAAAAGCTCATTTGGAAAAGCAAGCAGGGCGGCCGGGGAGAAATCGGCTCCCTCCTTTCACCCGATGCCGAGTCCCATTCGCGCCGGCTGAGCTCAGCCCAGCACGAAGGGGACTCTGCATCCCCTGACCTCAACAGACCCTTTCTACCCTAACTGGGGCCAAGATCCTCTGTGGAGATCATGTTTTATTACTCAAGTGTGATCACAAAGGGCACCCTATTCTTTCTGCCAGCCAAGTTCATTATAGCATCAAATAATGTTTAGCTCTTAGCAAACTTCATATACTGGTTTAAACGTATGCCCTCAATTTACGAACTTAATCCGTTCCGGAAGTCTGTTCGTAAATCGGAAAGTTCGTAAATTGAGCCAGCATTTTCCATAGGACAGCATTGGAAACCAATTAATCCGTTCTGGCCAAAGTCCTGCCACGCAAAAGCAAGCCGGGCGGCCAGGGAGAAATCTGCTCCCTCCTTTCACCCGATGCTGAGTCCCCTTTGCGCTGGCTGAGCTCAGCCCGCCGTGAAGGGGACTCAGCATCGGTGTGAAAGGAGGGAGCCGATTTCTCCCCGGCTGCTTGACTTGCTTCCAAAGCCAAAAAGGCAGGGAGAAAGGGCTGGAAGTTCAAACTTCCCGCCCTTTCTCCCTGCCTTTTTGGCTTCGGAGGTTTCAACGGGCTTCCTCTGACGTCGGAGGAAGCCTTTTGAAAGCTCCAAAGGCAGGGAGGAAGGGCAGGAAATTTGAATTTCCCGCCCTTTCTCCCTGCCTTTTGGGTTCGTAACTCGATCTGCGTTCGCAAGTAGGGTCTGCTACTTGCGATGAGATCGGGTTCGTAACCCGAAACATTCGCAACTAGGGCCGTTCGTAAGTCGAGGGCCCATTGTACTTGAGTTGCAACCTATGGCCAAGTTTCAGCCATTTCTATTTAACATACTCTCTAGGGTTTCTGGGAGTTAACGTTAAACGAAGTGTGGATGACTTAAAGTTGAACACCAGTATTTTAGAGGGACACTGCTAAACTGGCCTAAATATGGCTACTTTTGTATTAGGCACATCAAAAAGATCTTAAGCTCAACAAGCATGAAGGGCTTTGCTCACCTGGTTCCACTGCACCCTTGATAGTCCCGATAACGTTGTATATTCGGGTCACCTGGTTGACTGTGTGCACGTGCATTCGGACCTTTCTAAAGAAGGAAAAGGGCGTCAGACATCCTGTAAAAGAGCTTGTCTGTTGAAGTCAGCATGTTAGTTTGCTGTTGATCTGATCACAACCGTAAGGAATGAGACATTTTTATTCTTTCTCCTACAAATGTCTCAGAGGGAGTTACTGAGACCTTTTACGTGCCAGTTCATGAGAAAGGGATGAACTCTGGAGAAATTGTGGCTACTTTCCTCTGTGAATATCTGTACTTTCTACTGCATAGTAAAACTTTAAAACAAAAAAATATTCTGTTGATATGGGGATGCACATATAAGGATAATCTAGTCAAATCTGCAAGAAAATCACCAGAATGAGCCAAAACAACTGCAGAACTAATCAAAACAGTAACACTCTGTGAACAAGCCCTCGGTCTCCAGTGAGCGGGAGAAGCGGACTTTTCAGGAGCCAGGAAGCCACGAGATGTGGCAACGAGATGGCAGAAGAGAGTAAACTAACCTTGTGGAGTTCATGCCTGAAAATCCGGGCCCAATATTATAGGGCACATTGAGTTTTCCCTTCCACGCTTCACCGGGAGCCGCAGGGCCTCCCATGTACCTGCGCAGTAGTAAAATCCAAGCCAACAATATCAGCGAGGTCTCTCAAAATAACCATCATCAACTTTTTAATTCAGGGATTCCTAGATAAGACATTGGGAGGAAGTCAACATATCATTATGATAACTTCTGGACGGATCACAAGCTTGCACTTAAAAATCGCTCCATTTCGTTTTGATATTCAGGTGTGAGGGCCAGCTGCTTAGGCAGCCCAAAGTTTTAAGATTTGTTGATGTTTTACAGAAGAAAACGAGGATGGGAAAGGGAGGGGGGGAAATCCCATAAAAAAGCCCAAGGAGGACTGAAGATCATCCGTGCCATGGAAGGCTGAGTGATTCTTCACAGATAGAGGACAGAATGGAATGTCATGGAGAAGGGTCGGCTGGCTGATGTAACGCTTCTGGGATTTCAGCCAGCCAGTTAAGTCAAGGTGTTCCACTCTAAACTCCATCCCCTTTCAAAGAGGACTGAAGATCATCCGTGCCATGGAAGACTGAGTGATTCTTCACAGCTAGAGGACAGAATGGAGTGTCATGGAGAAGGGCCGGCTGGCTGATGTGACGCTTCTGGGATTTCAGCCAGCCGGTTAAGTCAAGGTGTTCCACTCTAAACTTCATCCCCTTTTCACGTTTCCCTTCATCCTGCAATAATAATCTAGTAGCATTCTGGGCATGCCGAGCCCTTACACAGCTGCTTTGAAAGCAGGGCTCCTTTGGTTGGTTGGCTGGTTTTTACATTTTTGTGAATCTTGAGTTGCCCTGAACCCTGTGACCTATTTTAGGTGTGAATGACACTATTTGGGCTGCACACGTACCCACATTACAAGAAATGTTCATGATCAGTGTGTAAGCCACTACTATCCTACCATGCTCATAATAAATCTTAGATTTATTTTACATTTTACATTTTACAACTGCAGTACTGGGAAGGGCCCCTATCGATCATTCAGTCCAGTCTCTGTCAAAGACAGAATCGATCTCCCGGACTCCGGCTCCCCAGCCAGAGACCTAAACCGTTGAGCAGGCCATGAGTTCTTGAGGACATCTACCTGCTTACTCCTGGATATGAAATATTAGACTGAATAAAAAAAACAAATGGACAAAATGAAGCAAAGCAAGTGCACTTCAGCTGAAATCCTGTTGCTTAGTGTAGTAACTCACCACTTGAGTAGGCCCACTGAATCAATGGAACATACGTAGGTGTCGACAGAGCAAAACCACCACCCCCATTCAATAGACCTCCTCTTGTTCCAATTTATTAATGTGCTAAACAACAGGATTTGGGTCTTAATCTGATCCAGGAAGGCAGTTCTAAAATGTCATTCATTAAATCAAATCAATTAGCTTTGACGACTTCCACCCAGACCTCTTGTGATTTGTTTTGCCGTGCCAATTTCTGGATTTGTTTTGCCATGCCAATATATTTTCAAGAAAAAAAACATGCTTAAATTATGTTACAATAATAACACTGAACAACTGTCCTGTAAAGACAAGTGCCGGATGTTAAGCAGACTCAACCTACCGTAAGAGTATTTCTGCATCGTGGTAACCAATGGGATGAACTGGGATTTGGGGAAGACCTACACCATCGTCCACCTTATACCTGAAGGTGTATTCTGAAAAAGCAAGGAGGATTGAGATAACCAAGATAAGGTTTAGGCAGAAGCCTAGGACCTTACATGGCCTTTTGGTCACCCACCTTTGGCAGGATACCCAGGAGTAAGTGGGTCTCCTGCACCATTGAGATGTAGCACGTTCCCTCGCTGAGCCCCTCCTCCAGGAAGATTCCATCCATCTGGATAGGGATGGACTCCGGGTGCACAGTAATCCGCAGGGTCTGAATACAGGATAATCCCTTTCGCTCCAGCTAACATGCTGTTTTTCACCTGCAGAGCGGTCAGACATTAAGAAGCAGTTTTCAAAATGGCTTTTGTCAAACCCAAAAGAGTAGCCTCTTATCTTTCTCTTGTTGCGAAATTCAAGGAGATTCCCAGTGTGGTTTAGCGGGTAGACTGATGGATTAGGACTCTGGAGAACGGGGTTCAAATCCCCACTTGGCCCCGGAAACTCATTGTGGGAGTGGAGCTGGTAAAACCATTCCTTAAACATCTCCTTTACTTTGAAAGCCCTATCAGGGTTACTGTAAGTCAGTTCCAACATGACAGCACACAACACACCACCACACACACACACACACACACACACACACACACACACACAAGTATCAAAGCATACAACTTCATCATGGTTCATTCTCCCGATGCACAGGTGTTCCATGGGCATCCCCTGGCGACCCTTCTCCACCTCCTCTGGTAGTCACCGACTCAGAGGCGGAACAGAGAAGCCTGGGACACTGACACGGAGTGGGCACCCACCGTAAGAGGCGGGGGAAGGACGTCGGGGTGCCCACAGAATGCCTCTGTGTCCAAAGAGCTAACCATTAAAAACCGCCAAATGGACAGGGCATGTCCATCTCTCCATACAACCCAAGATTTGATCAAGGAAAGCATCCTTTTGGGAGTTGTTGTTGTTGTTGTTTAGTCATTTAGTCGTGTCCAGCTCTTCGTGACCCCACGGACCAGAGCATGGCAGGCCCTCCTATCTTCTACTCCCTCCCGGAGTTGTGTCAAATTCATGTTGGTTACTTCGCAGACACTGTCCAACCATGTCATCCTCTGTCGTCCCCTTCTCCTCTTGCCTTCACACTTTCCCAACATTAAGGTCTTTTCCAGGGAGTCTTCTCTTCTCATGAGATGGCCAAAGTATTGGAGCCTCAGCTTCAGGATCTGTCCTTCCAGTGAGCACTCAGGGTTGATTTCCTTCAGAATTAGATCGTTACCTATCAGCGGTTGAGTACTTCTTATATAAAGGTACTGACTAGAATTCTATTGGGATTTTATTCTGGAGTAAATATGAAATCCTATAAAGCATGGTGGCAAATCACAGCTAATTAATGAGATGCCAGTCATGGCCTGTTACATGACCGGATGTGTGAGTGGACATGTGACCACCACTTCATGAATAAGTTGCTATTTGCCAGTTTAACTTCTGCAGTATCACTTACTCTGAAGTAAAATCGCAATAGGAGTCCAGCCAATGGGTTTTAGTTGCCCATCCAAAGCCAAACCACTGTTTGCATTCCACCAGGGTTAGCTTGCGATCCTGCACTCTTCCTAGAGCACTCTGTATTTCTTTC